AAATATTCTCACCTCAGTGGTTTCCTCCGCGAGGCAGTTGATAACATCAAATCCGAGATACGCGAAAAAGACCCGTCCAGAGCCGCGGACGATTCCTTCAGGAGTAGTAGGGTTCCAAATATCACTCCGGAAAAATATAAAACCTGATAACTCAATCGATCATATGGGCGCGCGCTTTTTACAAACCTCACCTCCAACGATGAAAATGAGAATAACAGTCATATTGAGAATCGTACTCCAGTTGTTGAAACTGCAAAACCACAGAAATTTGGGAAATCCCACATTTTTCCTCAGACGCACGTGCTAGTTTGTTTAATCCCACGGTAAAGCAGCAACCCCAATAGGATGCAGAGGACGAAGGAGAGGAGGGAGATCGACCAAAGATTCTCAGACGACCCGAGATCGAAGTCATACCTAAAACAATCTCGCTCGCCCTAAAATATGAGAGGCACTGAAAGACTCAAGTTGGATTGGATGGATTTTTTATGGTTTTCGTTAGGGCGTTTTTCCGGGAAAAATCCGGAAAGTTTATCGTGAAATTTCTTCGATTCAGGAGAGAGCGTTCATACCTCAGAGAACCTATGAAAACAGTTTTTGTAAAGAATTTCATTATAGGATTCAGGCTGAATCATTCAGCGAATAGATTAGCCAAAGTTGCATGAAATTGCTGCGATAGAATCATCACGAACGATAGGTCGCTGCCAATAAGATTCGGAAGTTGACCGGAAGGCACCACCTTACAGGATCTTTGGGAGTTTTTCGCCCAATAAAACGTTGACATACGCAGCGAAGGCCCTAGCGATAGCAGCGGCCGATATGGAGTTGTCAATACAGAGAACCTGCTATGATGTACCAAAGGAGTGGTATGCACGCATGCGCACGAAACCAATAATAGCTGCCGGTAATTCGCCAAGGATGGTGTAGACGTAGCTATAGGCCGATCCAGCCACCGGAACAAGAGAGCTCATCTCGCAGTAGCAGAGGCCAGATATTCTGAGCGGAGCGATTCATGAATTGCAGTTTATGAATCGATGCACCCGCATGCTAGAGCTGCGAGGATGAAGCTAATCCAAAGAAAGGAGCCGGCTTCTCTAGCACCCACTCCGATGGATACGAACATACCTGAGGAAAAACTGA